CATTGTATTAAATGAATGAAAATGACAATCTTGTGTAATGACAAAGATCCTCTTTCCTTTCTTACATTGGTTTTACATGTCAAACTTACATAACAAAGAAGGCGGGAATTTGTTTTATTTCCTTGATTTTGTTTTTTTTTTAATGTAAGAAAAAATCAAAATTACAGTTAAAGGTTAAAAAACTGATACATGTATTGTAAAGTTATTTGAAAAAGTGTCCTTAAAAAGGCAATTTTAATAAAAGATCATGCAGGGTATTATAAATAAGACTCAACAACAACAAAAACTGTGATGAGCTTACAAATTCATAATCCTCCCATGTGAATAAATTACTGGTAAACACAGACTATCAAAAAATATAGTAAATACTGAACTCCCTTAATGACATGAACAATAAGATGTACCTAGAAACATGAGGCTCATGTTGGGGAAAGGCACATTAAAGAACGGATGAATGAACAAACCAACCAATAGTTAAAAGATTGATTGATGGATGGATTGCTGTTTAATCTCTGGCGTCAAATCAATGCATATTCAGGACAAGAACATGTTTTTCTACATTGGCTAGAGGTATAGGGGGAGGGTTGAGATCTCAAAAAACATGTTTGACCCAGCCACATTTTTGCGCCTGTCCCAAGTCAGGAGCCTCTGGCCTTTGTTAGTCTTGTATCATTTTTAATTTTAGTTTCTTGTGTATAATTTGGAGTTTAGTATGGGGTTCATTATCACTGAACTAGTATACATATTTGTTTAGGGGCCAGCTGAAGGACGCCTCGGGGTGCGGGAGTTTCTCGCTGCATTGAAGACCCATTGGTGGCCTTCGGCTGTTGTCTGCTCTATGGTCGGGTTGTTGTCTCTTTGACACATTCCCCATTTCCATTCTCAATTTTATTATGAGATATAAATATAAACCATGCTTTGTACTAGACTGACACACTGAGCCATATTTTCAACATGTTAGCTCATATGGTAATGGTCTACAGGAAGTTGTGAAAATATTAAAAAGAAACAATCCAAGCTCTATCATGAACAGCAAATTTTCCAAATAACAAAAACTTTAAGATGTGAAATAAGACAATCATTGAAGAGGTTCCTTGCTTGGAACAGGCACATGAATATGTTGCAGAGTAACATCATATAGAAAGTATGATCACATTTTCTAACGAAATACAGAGAAACAACATTATAATAATATGAGATTTAACAAGTCAAATAAAATATTTCCAATCTACGATTTTTTAACTGAAAATTATAGCACCACGGGCCAGAAATGTAGGATCACCCTTAGGCTGATAGGAGCACCCTCTGAAATTATAGGGCTACAAGTCTTTGGTGAGTTAAGGGCCTGAGGGACAGCACTGCCATTTTACTCATTTACAATGTCTAAATCATTTAGGTCAAAATAATCTTTGCACTGTCATATAAGGCAAATTTTCAGTTTAATGTTATTGCGAACCAAATGAAACTTTTCCACAGAGTCATCTCCTATTGGTCAATCATTGTGTGAACCCCTGAGGGTTCACGCATATATATTGGTCGTTTTTGTAGTCTTTCTGAATACCGGAAATGCATACTGTCTTTTTGGAATACTACTGTTATTTTCTGTGGCTGCCTGCATAATAGGTATTTAATTGATCTAATGAATATGTATTAAAGTTATAATGTTGCTATAGAAATAAGTGTTAATCGAGGCTGATTGATATCCTTCATCAGTAGTAAATTAAACTAGAGTCGCATATGTTAAGTTATCTAAATTACAAGCTGGGTTCACATTGGAGAATGAGTAACCGTCAATGGATAGGGGGTTTTAAAACTGAGCCATTTTAGCACTATCAAAAAAAGAGCAAAGTCCATATAAGCAGCAATTATAATTCTACATCCAGGAAAGATGCTGACAAACAAGGAGGTTCTAAAATTGTTCCTATTTTAATGAAAATAGCAAAAATGGAATTATTATTAGAAGTCCATTACTTTAGTTGGTAAAATATTGGAACAAACTTTCCTTTATCGTCTGGGACTATTTTATTAAGTATAATAGTCCCAGTTATCATTAACTGGCAACTAGATGACATCAGGTACAATTAATTTTCTATACAGAATCCATACTTTATCTTATTCAAAAATTCTAGTTAACCCTGGAAATTGGGACGAAATTTTAAAGCACCTTTTAGGTGTGTTAAATGCAGAAATTATATGCCACATCGAAACAGTTCTTAAATGAATATGCGTTTGATTTCTGAACACACACAATAAACTGCTTCGCTGAGCGCAGCTGGATACGCCCGCAGAGGTCCAACCCTGAACAGTTGGGGCAAAAATGGACACAATATTCAAGCTTGATACAGGTCTGAATTTGGATTGTAATTAAATACTTGACATATTATAGGTTTCTGAATAAATGTAGTCAAAGAACTTGAAATTGGTTTAAGAATTGAATTTATATTAAAATAAAGATTTCTTCTTCTTGTGCAATACACTGTGCTGTTGCTCAATACTTAGTAAATCTGTTGTCAGACTATAAACAAATAAAGTTCAATAACTTCTCAATGTTATATCAGAAATTTATAAAAAACTAAAGGGAGGTTATCTTAATAGATATAAATCAGTCATCAAAGTTTAATGAAAACTGCTCTAAGCACTTTAAGGATATTGTCCAAAAACTGGAAAATCCCCTTTTTGTAATGAATAAAACCCCATAAATCATAAACTTATAGTCTAAAATTTATAAAAATCAAAAGGGAGCTCATGTCGATAGAAATAAACAATTCATCAAAGTTTCTTGCAAATTGGTGAAACTGTTTTTGAGTTATTGTCCGAAAACTGGAAAATGCCCCCTTTTTTAATGAATAAAACCCCAAAACTCCGAAACAGTAAATCCGAAATTTATAAAAAACGAAAGGGAGCTCACGTGAATAGATATAAACAATAAACCAGAGTTTCATGCATATTAGTTAAATTGTTTTTGAGTTAATGTCCGAAAACTGGAAAATCCCCCTTTTTCAATTGAAAAAAAACCCAATACTAGGAAACTGAAAATCTAAAATTTACAAAAAACGAAAGGGAGCTCACGTCAATAGATATAAACATTTCATTAAAGTTTCATGCGAATTGGTTAAAGCGTTTTTGAGTTATTGTCCGACATGTTGACGACAGACGGACAGACGGACAACGGTATACCATAATACGTCCTGTAAACGGGCTTATAAAAATCAGACTTAAAGTTGAAGTAGCAGATCATCATCGGCACAACTTCATGTCCCATTTAAAGAAGAATCAGTGCAAGTTTCTTGGAATTCCGTCATCTTTTTCAAGGATTTGAGGCAATCTGTATTTATAAGCAAATTTATAGGATCTAGTTGACAGAGGCCTATAGCTTTTTGGCAAAAAAATATAATGATATCTTTACAAATTAGGCAATACAAAACGCATTCATAAGCAAAAAAAAGCAGCTTAGTAAAAAATTATTTTTCTATCCGTATTCAACAGACATGCGATTGCAAAAAACAGGATCTTTAAATTGCGTACTGGACATGAGCTATACCAAATTTGCACTGTTCTTCCTGCTTCCCTCTGTCTGTATAAAAACAACAAATTAACAACTTCATTATATTTTGGCTAATTTACAAAAGGACAAGTTATGAAATGAAAAGTGAGATTTGTTTCAACAAACTGATTAAGTATAAAGTGAGGTCTCATATTGTTTCTACTCTAAAAGTCTGATTGGAGTTTGTTACCTCTGGTATAAATAAATTGAGATCAAGCATATCTTGAATATGATAGTCAAGACCAAACCATATAAATTTTCCAGGACGGTTAAAGAACAGGATTAATAAATAAGAATATAGCTTAGGATTTTGAATTATTTTCAAACTGGTGAAAAAAAACAAATAATCATGATTCATTTCTTTAAACTTCTTCAAAACAAAGACTGTTTTCACATTTACATGTCGACTTTGACCAGGAAGCTTCCTCTAATTTCCAAAACAGCACATCAGAATGGAACATACAGTGGTTACCTCCTAAATAGCATGTTGTAATGTTATCTATTGGAAGAGAGAAGGATGGGAGAAAGAGAAATGATTTCTTTAACAAGAAAATTATACCCAACCTTAAACAGCAGTCTCTTTAAGAATCCGTGTCAGTTTTTCTACATCTTATATAAAAAAATGAGGTAAACTCATGCATCTTTATATAATAATTATCTGTTTTTAAATACCAAACAGGCGTTTAGGACCACGATTGCATTTCTTTTTTTAAAGAAAGCAACCTGTTTTAAACTTTTGTCACTTTTATTGTCCCATTGAATAAATACAATAGCTATTGTTCTCTGTGTAGTTTTGTTTAGTTATAGAATATATTGAAGAAGGCCTTAATTTAAACATCATTTTCCAGTTTTTATTTGTCAAATACAAAAAAAAATTTCAATAGGAACAATGTTGAAATTTTGTCAGAAATCAACTTTTAATGTTTGAATCAATGTTTACATTGAACAGATTGAAAATATATTATTGATATTGAATAAATACAACATCACATGCAATTTTGTGAGTTTAAACATGTATTTCATCTTTTAGAAGATAATTTTTTTACTCGGGTAAATTAATCAATGAGTGATGGATTTCTCTTAGAAGAAATCTAAAAGTCCCAGTGAATAAACTACACAGAGAACAATAGCTATTATATTTATTCAATGGGACAATAGAATTGACAAAAGTTTAAATAGATTGACCAATAGGAGATGAATCTGTGGAAAAGTTTCATTTGGTTGCAATAAATAGATTGACCAATAGGATATGACTTTGTGGAAAAGTTTCATTTGATTCACAATAAATCTCATGTATGATTGGTTAATTGGCATCTAAATTCAACCTTATATTTTCAATAATGGTACATTCAAACAGAGGCAGAAATGATGGTTTTTCAAATAAAATATGTTTGCGTCATACACTTCAACATCAATAAATACATATTGAGGAAAACCACAAAGTTTGAAGGTGGGATGACCCTGTAGTATTTATACAACATTAAATTATTTGGTTGACAGTTTTTAAAAGCAAACATAGTAAGATTTAATATTTCATAAAAAATATGGATGAAAAATTAACTGGTAAGTTAGCCAATTATTTGCATCTTATACCAAGTTCTAAACTTCAAATCTTCATTTAAAGAATAAAATTCACACTTAAATTTTTTTAAAAGGGATTTGCATGACAAATAATCTAAGAAATTATGATGTACAAAGTTTATTAACAGAATCTGTTTAAAATACAGATCCTGTGTCAATATAAAAGTAAGAAGATGTGGCACCATTGCCAATGAGACAACAATCAACCAGTGACCATATATAATGCAGATGTCGGCAACTATAGGTCACTGCATGGCATTCAACAATGGACCAAACTCATGCTGTATAGTTAGTAAAAAGGCCATGTCATGACAAAATGTTTAATATTTCAAACCAGAAAACCAATGTAAACAATTCAAATGAAAACATCAAGGATATCACTGTCAAAAGGCTGACCAGATATGGAGTCATTCTATTGTGTTGTAGCTGAGAAAAGTGTGACCGAAATATTTTCTTAGTGTTGAAGGATCTAACAATGCTCTCTGTTATTTTCTATTTTTGAAGACCCTTCAGGATCATTGCTTTTTGTAGCAATGAAAGACACCTTCAAAATTTAAGAGGCGAAAAAGAGTAGGATCAATTTTCCCTGTATTTGTTTCTCAGTTCCAACTGGAAATTAAATATTAAAGAGTCAATGTAATCCTTTTTTCTTACAACCAGAAACTGTAATAAGGATAATGTCAAGTGATATTTGACAAATGAAAAGCTGAGAACAAGGAAACCACATTTTAGTTATAAAAAAAAGCCTGAGAAAACTTAAATCAACTATGAATTATGGAAAAATACAGATACCACCTACATATTGCCCCCCCACCCCTTAATATGTGATTCGTTAAATCTATGGTTCCTTGTATTTACCTACAAAAGAAAATATTAAAAAGAATACATCATTTAAATTTGACACATAAAGTTTTCTTTTTCAGAGCTTCAAAAAGGATGCCTAGTATATGGTGTTTTATTGGTGATATGGCTACAACTGACAACAATATTAGCTGCTGACTGTCCAATTAAAGAGTGTTTATGTCATGACAGGGATTGGCCCACAGATGAAAGAATTATAGACTGTCGAGACAAAAACCTTTTATCAGTTCCATTAATCATTGCTTCTGAAGAAATATTTAAAGAACTGACATTCAGCAGTGAAAACAAAAGATGTAGGGACAATATCCCTTCAACATGCAGTAACAGAATAATTCACATTGCCAATAATACTTTTGCAGGACTTAAAGTCCGCAAACTTGACTTCAGTACAAATTACGTAGTTTCAGTGTCTAGTGATGCCTTCAGGGGACTGGAGACATATTTGACAGAACTTATCTTAGAAGGTAATGATTTAAGAAGTGTCCCCTTTGCGTCCCTACCACAGTTGACTAATCTTAAGTCATTAACCATAGAACATTACTCTCTAATTAAAAACTGTATCTCTTCATTTCCACAAAAATTTCCACATCTTGAAACATTTGTGCTAGATACACTTCAGATGCAGTACATAACATCACGTTCTGTTGTGGGAAAATTTCCAAAATTGAAAAGATTAGAGATATTAGGAAATCCAGACTTTACACGATTCCCCCTTGGTGCTATAAGATTTCTTACTACGTTGGAACAAATCCGTTTCGTAAAAAATGGCATTTCAACATTTCAACATGCTGGAAATGCATTGAAATCTCTTCATAAGTTAACTCAACTGGATCTGTCCGAAAACAAGTTAAATGTCTTACAATTTGGATGCTTTAATCATATACAACAACGAATAAAGTATCTAGGTCTTCATTCCAATAAATTAGATGGAAACAGATTGATAACTCTGACAGAAGGTACCTGGCCAAAGCTTGAAACGTTAGTATTAGACAATAATCCTCTAGGAACAAGTGGTATTCCTACAAATCTATTCAAAAACATGCCAAATCTGGAATATCTCTATCTCGTGAAAACTCAGCTCATTCAAATAGAACATAATGACTTCATAGGATTGTCCAATCTTTATTTTCTTGATCTATCTGGTAATAAAATTACACATATTGATTCTGGAACCTTCACCCATACACCAAATTTAAAAGATCTTGAACTATGTTCTCTAACAAGATCAAATTATAAACTGAACTTCACTGCAGAAACTGCACAGGGACTTCAGCATTTGCAAAGTATCAATTTGCAAAAAATACAACTCTGGCCATCTTCATTCTGGAATTCACTGAGTCTCATGACTGGTTTAAAAGACATAAAGCTTGTAGATAATGGACTGTCAAATATTCAAGATTCGGCATTTCAGTATAATACCCAGTTGGAAAGGCTAGAGATCAGTAGCAATAGTCTTACTGAACTAACACAAGCTCAAATTAATGGCTTAGGTGGCAGTCTCAAGCTACTAGATTTATCCAGTAATTCTATTACATTAATCGATAAATGTGTAATTGAAGAACTTGCAGTCTTAGATACATTAAAACTGAAGAATAATCCTTTGCATTGTGACTGTAAACTAAAAGCACTGAAGGAATGGACAAAACTTAAACAGGCCTCTATTGAATATTTTGAATTTTCTCTGAATGCTGAATGTAGCACTCCTAAAAGATTAAGGAACAAATCTCTGACAAGATTGTCCAAAAAGCACCTTGTGTGTCCGAAATATACACAACAGATTCAGTGCCATAATTTCACTACACCTTCCTCAGTCGTCAAACCCAGATTTAGAAATGTTTAGAAGGGATGGCTGTAGAAAATCAACACATTCAGTGCCTCAATTTCACTAAAACTACCTCAACAAGACACGGATCAGGAATTTTTTAGAAGAGATGGCTATAGAATATTCATCTGACAATTCAGCCTACTTTTCATCAATTTTGATTCCAAAAATTACAAGAAAGAAAGAATGACCAAAGAAACTAACATCGACCAAGTGGCCAGCTCTGATTTATGGATTTTATTCATGCATATGTGTGTACCCTGACACTGCCCGAGAGCTCTGCATTGAGACTTTCATTTGATAATACAGTTGCCATTATAGTGTGTTCAGCATGAATTCTGAAACTGATTGAATAGATTGTTTGTTTTCTTTAACTAATAATAAAATATCAATAAGATCAACCATGTGAACAATGATTTTCAATTCCTAACAACTTTTACCTCCAACAATTTCATTTTTTAAAATTTTTTTTAAAATACATGTAATGTAAATCAGATCATTATCCTATAATCATTTTCAAGTTTATATCTATTTACCTACCTAGCTATCACCTTAAAACAAGTTGGAGTCTAGTAATATTGCTACACAAAATGTCTTGTTCTAGTGTGGCTAGTACAAATGTATCCCTAAGTCAGACAGGTATATACTTTAAGATGATGATGATGATGTATGACTGTTTAATGTCCAGCGGCAAATTAAATGCATATTCAGGGCGATCAAGTTTAAGAAGTCTACAATTATAGACTAGTAAACAAAGAGGAGACATGTGTTATTTATTGATTCTCCTTTTATAAATACCTGTACATTTGTATATGCAGTTGTATATTATAAAATAGTATGTTCTGGCTATTAAACTGGATAGAATATTGCCATCTGTTACAATCGTTTACTAAACATGCGACAGAACTATGAACAATCACACAAAATCTAGCTAGTAAAAAAGGACAACATCAAATGAATGAACTGCAGGAGTTATTGTTCTGTTATGATAACCAAAACCATACATGCGTTGACCAACATTCTTAAAAAGGGTCAGTTTAATTTGAATTTTATCTAAATGCATATATACAAAACTGTTAGATATCGAAATCAATACTGCTCAGGTAAAGCAGCTTGCCTAGGGTGAAACCCAGTGAATTCAAGCTACATTTATGGTTTACTTAAGTTTAATCTGAACAATTTTGGTTTCAAGGACTGATTTTTTTTAAAACAAATAAGTCTGATAAATATTACTGAACAGCACTGACCAAGTGTAAGATATCTGTTATATTGTTTTTGTAAAAGTCATTGTCAGTAAAAAGAGTCCTCATTGATAGCATTGTTAGAATAAAGCATTTCCTGAAATTGCAATAATTAAACTCACATTTGTGTTGATTATTCAACAATGGCAATAATAAATGCATGCAATAATTTCTTAATTTACAGTAATAAAAGCGAAAAGATGTCTCCTCTTGGAGATAAATATATACCAAATCTAATAAATTGAACTCAAATGTATATCTAGTATACAGAGACAATATGTTGATAATTCATGGCAATGAGGTTCTCCATGATCATTGGCAGACCCTTTCAAGCCCGGCTATTGAAATGTTTTAGTAGACCTGTTACATGACACATTTCTTACCCATGTCTAATGATATCATTTTCCATTGTCAGTCAAAATTATCAACCTTTCTACATCCTCTCTTTCTTCCTTGGATGAACAGTATCACTACAATCTACATCTGTGCTATGAGAAGATATCAAATTCCATCAGGGGCCTAGGCGGCCGAGTGGTCTAAGTAGTCAAACTACTGTATCACTAGCCTGTCAACACTGAGGTTGTGAGTTCTAATCCCATATATGGCATGGGCGCTCAACTCCAATCTTAATTGACTAGGATTGTCGGTTTTCCTACCGAAGTCTGTGGTTCTCTCCAGCTTCCTCCACCAATAAAAAGTGACCACCACAAAATAGCACAATAGTGCTGAAAGTGGTGCTAAACACCAATCAATCAATCAACTTCCTTCAAAGTGATACTTTCATATGACTTCTATCTCTTAAGAAGAGCATAACTGACAGTGTCAAAGCTCAAACAACTCAACCTTAATCTAATATAGGAAATAATTCTTATTATTGCATTTTCCCCAAAAGAGACCCACATACTTATTTTTTGTGTGCAAGAAATTAAACGTGAAAATTTCCATTTATGACAAGTCATTAAGGACAATCAATCCTTAATGAAGTAATCCTCTTACATGTCTTAGTGTCAAACTGAACAGCATGATCATCATGTATGGAACCAATAATTAATCCCCATATATAGTATACAATGGAATTGAAAGGAACCACTAAAAAAATACAGCTGCATCCATATATGATTTGAATAAGTGCATTTTTGTAACTGATACGTACCAGGAAAAAACATAAAAGCACTTAAAAAATAAAATTTGTCAACAGATACATGATAACCAATAATTGAACTAAATATAAATATTTACGTAGAAGTATAATACAGGAAAACCACAAAGTTCGGAGAGGTGATCTGATGACCATGTAAAATTTATACAAGAGTAAATAGTTTGACAAGATAAGACAAGTTGAAACATAAAATGCATCAAATATGAATATTTCATACCATAAGGCATGCTGATGAGCAAGTAATATGCATTTACATATTTACAAAATGTATCAAAAGATAACAGGTAAGATATACATAATTTTAATGACTATTTTACAAATTTCTTTCCACTTTTTGTACCTTGTTGCATGAATCTACTGCAGGCTTCTTTTAAGACATGAAACTTTAAAAAAAAATGATGAACAAATTTCCATAAACTAAGAAAGACTTCAACTTTCACAGCTGTTGTTTCTGTCTTGTATCAACAATAGGCTATATATAGTGAGGTTTCTATAATGAGGGTTGTTAATTTGTTGAGAACAGGTCCGTGCTATTGTGGTGGGGGCCAGGGAAGAATGCCCTAGGAAGCTCAAAGGACCTAGCAATAAATAAATGGTAATATTTGGTCAATCAAAAAACAAATCCAATGATAAAATAGAACTACTGTAAATTCAGAAATTATTGCGTGCATTTATTTTTGCGACTTTTAAAGAAAGAACAAAAAAGCGAGATTTATTATCGCGATTTTTGAAAAAAGAACAAAAAAGCAAGATTTATTTTTGAGATTTTTGAAGAAAGAACAAAAAATTGAGATTTATTATCAGATTTGTGAAAAAAGAACAAAAAAGCAAGATTTATTATTGAGATTTTTGAAGAAAGAACAAAAAAGCGAGATTTATTATTGTGATTTCAGGATAATCTTCTTTCACTCATATGTATCAGATATCAGAATGTGAGTTCTTATTACTCTGATTATCACCCAGTCGCATTATTGGCAATTATAAAAACCTCACAATAATTTCTGAATTTACAGTATATAATAGTTAAAAAATAAATAAATTTTCAAAATTTCTGATGGTCTTGTTTTAAGGAATATGATAGCACCAATGCATCTTCTGGTTATACACCTTATCGCTATTCCCACTTGACCCGAGAATCTGTCCCGCTTGAACTTTTGACGTCATACAATAATCACTTTTCCATTGTGGCGTCAGATATTTTCTATTATGACGTCAAAATTTTATGGGAACTTTTGTGATGTCCAGTAATGGCGGACAAATAGCGATAAGGTGTATTGATTAGCCTTTCTATCCATTCTTCCAGTCTGTCACAAAACTACAGACGTGTAAGTTGGATACAACACAAGTATACATTCTAAAAGTCCTCTGTCTTCACTTCTAAGTAATAACTTTCTAAAAAAAGGAACAAAATTAATTTACTTGGGATAGTGTTGATGGGTTTAAAATGAGTGTCACATTTTAATCTGCTTCACCACATTAGGTGTTCTATTGGTTGTGTAGGATTTGAATATAAACAGCCACTTCCATATGCATGAAATATTTGCCACTGATCATCTAGCAAATAACAATGAATCAACATCTCATCAAAATTTGACAATAAAGGAGAAACTAAGATGAAAATCTAAAGTGATGTTTATAAGAAAATGGTCTCCATGGAATTATACAAAAGGATTAATTTGCTTAATTTGAAATTTTGAAGAGCTGCCTTTTCAAATTTAAAAATTATGGTGACTCAATTCAAATTTTACAATTAGTAATGAACATTCAAAAGTAGGTGTATATAATAATTGCATAAACAAAAGCTATTTTTAATGTATGTTTTTGCGAAAATAAACTGCTTAACTTTGGTTTATCATTTCATTTATATTTGCCATTTTATCATTTATCATAATTTTTTGCAATAGTGTTTGCACATGATAACTATGTGAAAGTGTCTACTGAACTTAATTTTGACACAGCTGAATTATAAATAGCACAATCTGTGGTTTTCTTTTGACAAGAGTTTGCTACCATTTAGAATTGTCTGTAGCAAAAATTTGTTTGAAGATCTCATGTTTGACCAAAATATTTAAAATAATTTTTTTATACACATAGTTCTAGATCAATCTTCTTCTAGATTTATAGAAAATGATTGCACTGCATTTATTCATTAAAAAATAAATTGCTTTTTCTAATTTTATTCATCAATAATTTTTTATAATTTCTCCAATAATTATTTATGTCAGATAAAAAATAAATCTAACTTTTAATATGCTTTAATCTATCAATAATAAATATCTCATAGTACTTGAAATAGTTTTATAAAACAAAAAAATCCTTCTTATTTATGTCAGTTCATAATTTAAAAGATTTTTCATAACTTATATATTGAAAAAAAAAATCTTCTCTTTTTTCTTTTTTAAAATTAAATACTTTCTAAATTGGAGGTTCATCAGTTTTTATCCCAAAAAAAACTTTTAGTCACCAGTAACAATTAAAGTAATAGGTTACTACATGTTTGACAATATTACATAAGTTTATCTGGATCTAATCCCTTAGGCTTGACTATTAACATCAATGGTCATTTCATTGTTCACAAAAGGTGAAAATTATCAATTTTATACAAATTATCATTTCTATACAAATAATGAAAAGTAGCAGTTTAACGTTATTGTTGATTATTTACACTTTGAATAAATCCTTTTTTCAATAGATTGGTGATAACGACTCTTATAAGAGTAGGTTAAGGCCCTTTCTATTGATCATAGGTAAACATTTTTACCTGTTAAAGTAAGCATTGTGATTGGTTAGGTGGCAGCCATTAGAGATACCTGACTCACCTGGTTATTTTTACCTGTGTAAAAGGTGTGTGACGTTGAAATTGATTTAGAACAAAAACAAAAGTTTAGACTTGCATTCTAAGACAAAATGAGATAATCAAGTGTAACCATTAACTGGGAAATGTATCAAAGAACATCTGTGACATCCTGAAACCAACATCTTCGAAAGAACTTTGATGTTTACCTGCTGATTATTTGTAAACAAATTATACAGGTAAGAAGGTGCACAATAATCATGAATATATCTATGGTGACATCTTCATATCCAGGGCTGTGGTCAACAATTATGTCTTTATCTGTCAAAATTGACACTTTTTGGTCTTCAATTCTGGCATAAAATACTTTTAGAGGGAAATTAGATGATTTTGTAAATGTCTTTCAGATAAAAACTTTTATAACAAAATTTGTTCACCAAAGTGGAAAAAAGCAGAAAAAAACCTAAAACTGTATTTTTGATAAGAAATCAAAGACATTTTGCCGTGTGGTCATTAAACTGGATCCCTAGTGTAATGCTCTACTTTTTTCTTAAAGTCAATCTTTCATGTGCATTTTAGTAGAATACCTTACATATTATCACTGTAAAGTTAGGGCAAATTCACCTGGCTATTCACCTAAATCTTTTCGTTTCATTCTTTATGTACTATTCATCAAAACGAAAATCTTACCAATCATGAAGTTAAACAAAATTAAGAAATTTAAGGCTAAATTTACAAATAAAAATAAAAAGATAGTTGGTTGGTTGCTTACATCTAGTGCCAAATATTTCATGCATGTTCAGGACGAAAAAATAAATATCAATAAAGGATTAGCTTTTATAAATAAAAGATTAGCTTGTGATTAATGTTCAACTTTCCATCCCAATTTTGGTGGTCAATAAGCTGATTACCTTTGACATAAATAAGAAATTTTAGTTTTCCTAGAAGAAAAAAACCCATGCATATTTAAAGATCAAGGAGTTATCCCATTAAAGCTCCATGACGAGACAAAAGCATAAAGATCCTTGTAAGATAATGGAAACAATGGCATGTTAAATTGTTACAAAATCAGTCATGTCCTCTGGCTAATTTATCAGGTATATGCAATATACAACTACATAAACATAAAATTCATTTATTGAGTAGTTCATTACAGTGTAATAACTTACAACTTAGTCAAAAATTATTCGTAAGTTAGAAATAAAGTGACACACTTTAAATATTTTCATATTTATGCTTCAGTGTTTTTACCTGAAAAAACATTGAAATGTTGTTTGTCTAAATGTTATTTCAAGCATAGATTTATTTGCAAATACTTCTTTTAAAAACTACAATGTTTTCAGGATATGGCAAGCTTGAGATAAACATGTACAAAATATATTTTATAACATCAATTAAATAAAATACAAATTTTTATTGAACAACTCTTGAGAACAATTGTGTAAAAAAACAGGATATACAAATCATAATAAAAAATTGTCATCTGATCACAGGTCAACTTAAAAATTTTGAATATCATCTGATCTGCTTATTCTATTGACAATCAATATGATGTAATTTTACTTCCTAACTTCAAGAGCATCATTACAATATGATTCCACTTAACAATAAAAATTCCATGCATCAGTTAACTGACATAACTGATCATAAGGGTATTTTATTATATATTCCTTTGCAATAATTTTACCCATTTTATTTTATTTATTTCAATTTGTATTAGCAAAAAGAACATATTGCCACAACTCAAATAAACCACCACAGTCAAAGATTTTGGAAAACAGAGTTTTGATAAATTGATAAAAATTACCAGTTTTGGTTAATTAACTTGATTGGGCTGTTTTAAGTTTAGTTTGATGGTAAAGAACAAAACTTGGTTAGTATTTTGAATTAAGTTTGAAAACTTTGGAATTGTCACTATCTGAATTTACAATAACATATTAAAACTATGAAACACTTTGATTGTTCTATACCCTGTGGGAAGAAACCAAAAGTAAAGGAGCGATGATTTTTCAGGCATTGCGATATCACTTCAAACTTGTGGTGTCACTGTGAGGTTACAAAAATCTCTTTTTCTGTAAGTTCTGTCTTACAATACTGTGGATTCATCTATTTTCATGGATAACAATTTTCGTGGGTTGAGGAAAAATTGCACTGTCATTGATATTTGATTTTAAGGTTTTGTCAAAATGTGCATACAAACCTATAGTAAATTTGTACTTCGTTGAACATTTAAATTCATGGTTTCCCTATGCCCAGGAAATCAACGAAAATGGGTATTTCACAAATAATAATGCCGCCTCAATACCCTGATAACTGAACCCCTCATATTTATTACATTGCATGATTGTACAAATATACCATTATACTTTGAACAATAACCTTGGTTTTCTGAAAATTTAAAAACCAAAAAATTATTCTGAGTTTCAATTATCTTTTTTTTCCAGACCTACACAAACAATGGAAGGATACAGAATATATATAACAATATTAGTGATATGGCTGCAAATGACTAGGATACAAGGAAACTGTCCAATAGCTGAGTGCATTTGTCTTGATGGACAGAACCCGTCTAGTGAAAGGATAATAGACTGTCGTGAAAAAAGTTTTTTAAGTGTGCCTGCCATAAATACTACTGACGAAATATTTCAAGAGCTGACACTCAGCAATGCTGCTGAATCCAATTGCAGGAAACCTAATCCTCAAGCAAAATGCAACAGAATTGTACATATTTCAAGTAATGCATTTGCTGGGCTGAAAGTAAGAAAAATTGACTTCAGTCAAAATTACCTAGGAACAGTGGCAAATGATGCATTTAGTGGATTGGAACAATATTTGACAGAACTCATTTTAGAGGGTGACGATACAAACCGTGTTCCATTTTACTCACTGACAACACTGTCTAAACTTAAGTCATTGACACTTGAACGTTTCACTCTAGATAGTAATGGCATTACTTTCTTTCCACAAGAATTTCCTGAATTGGAAACATTGATCTTACATACACTCCAGATGCAATATATATCATCAGGTTCTGTGTCAGGTAAATTAAGGAATCTGAAGAGATTAGAGATACTTGATAATCCAGACTTTACATCGTTCCCTGTTAGTGCTATACGACATCTTACAACATTAGAACATATTCGTTTTGTAAAAAATGGTATTACAACCTTTCAATATACTGCAAATGCTTTCGAATCACTTAGTAAACTGACTGAATTGGATTTATCACACAATTATATCAGTTCCTTACAATCTGGATGTTTCAACTATTTACATGACAAATTGGAATATCTTGGTCTTCATCTAAATAATTTAAATGGACAAAATTTGGCCACTCTGAAAGAGGGTAACTGGACAAAGCTTCAACAATTAATATTAGACAGTAATCCGATTGGTTCTGATGGATTAACTACAGATTTGTTCAAAAATATGTCACATCTGGCAAATTTAAATTTACAACAAACTCAACTTACTCAAATTAAACAAAATGACTTTGCAGGCTTGCCAAATCTTCATTTTCTTCACTTATCTGGAAATGATATCACACATATTGATCCTGGAACCTTTAATAACACACCAAATTTAAAGGAACTCTATTTAGATACTGTTGGCAGATCAGATAATAAATTGAGCTTCTCCAAAGATACTGCACAAGGACTTCAGAACTTGCTACGTATAGACTTTAAACAATCACACATTGAGCCTATGGCATTCTGGAATTCATTGAAAGTAATGACCAAATTAAAACACATATATCTAGAAAATAATGGACTTTCAAATATTCCAGACTTAACATTTCAGTATCATACACAACTGGAGAATTTAGAGATAGCAAATAATGGATTAACCGAACTAACACAAGCACAAATTCATGGTTTAGGAAACAGTCTCACATCACTGCAATTAACCGGAAATAATATAACTCTTATTGATAAATGTGTCATTGAAGAACTGTCCATGTTAAAGAATTTATATTTGGACCAGAATCCTATGCATTGTGATTGCAAACTGGCAAAGTTATACCAGTGGGCAAAACAAAAGGAAGTTGATGATAGTTTTTTTCAATATATTCTAAAAGCAGTCTGCAGTACTCCGCAAAATCTTAACAGTCAACATCTAACTCAATTAGCTCCCAGTGACCTTGTGTGTCCACCTGGTACACAACTAATTCAGTGTGAGACTTTCACAACGTCAACAACAAGTACAACTACGCCATCTACAACTACAGTTCCACTACCAATAATTACTCTTTCAATTGATGGACGTAATGAATTATATGTTTCCTTATCTTGGACTGTTCAAAATATAGACCAGTTGTCCAAATTTTTCATTACCCATCAACAGCTAGCAACTAGTGAAACTAATGACCCAACAGAGGTTGATGCAAACCAAAGGCAATGGACATTGCCTTTAGACAATCATAAGGACTATTCAATCTGCATCAAAGCAAAAACAACTGACAATAGAGTTACTGTTCCTGACTGCAAGAATTCATTAGGTGGTATTGTCACAACATTTGCACCAACTGCTAGTCCTTCCACAGGATTAAGTTCTGGAGAAATTGTTGCGATTGGAGGAGGCCTTGCAATACTAATTATCCTCATAGTAGTGATCCTTTTCTTCCTTATAAGGTATCAAACAAGACCAAAATATAAAGACACACCTCCTGTTCATTTTACTGCATTTAATGCAAGACCCACGACTGGATATGATTCAAAACGCTTCTCAAAACCAAAGAAACCTCAAGCAAATGGTGATCTTATAGTAAATGCTATATCTTCAGGCAAGACTGGTGAACCGTTGAGTCCAAATAGTCGTCATTCGGCAGGAAGTTATCAATATCTTAATGAAAATCAAATGATTAATATACAACCCCATCTGAACAATGGTAAAGGAGCTAATGGCACATCACATGACCTGCCGTCACCACCAGGTTACTACCAGGTAACTAACAACCCAAAAAATGCTGCACCACAAGGATATCTGAATGACCCTCGTATGAAACAAAGACAGTTACAAGGTTATTTAAAAGATTCAAACTTAAAGGAAAACAGAAATTTGAATGATTCATCATCCAACAAATCTCGTTATGACAAAACACCAGGACAACTTAAGGGACATGCACCACAGCCTCACTCTTACGTCAATGACCCTCAAAGGTCACCACCAAGTATTTATACGAATGACATTAAAGATAGACCCCTTCCTAAACCAAGGACTAAACATTATGAAAATAATAACTCTACCGGATTTCTGAATCATGGATTTGATATAGACAGTCCGACAGACCATGAAATCACTCCAGAAACAGAAATATGAAAATCTGGGATAATATAGTGCTAATAATCAGAGTCCTTTGCCTGGATTATATAATGTGATATCATGTTCAATGTGAGAATGTGACATTCATAGACAGGAAGGATTTCTATGATACTGTGTTCCTAAGTTCTCTCTGAAAAAGGACTGATCTGGTACCAGTATCAGACCTGGTCAAAAGGACATGGCCATTCTCATACAAAAAATATGAATAAATATATTTTTTTAATAAGTGAACGATTGCAAGAAAGAGAATGAGTTAATGCCTAAAAGGCTCTAAACGATTTTGACTGATTGTGATACAAAGATATCAGTGCAAACCTAGATCTGTCAATTCTTCTCATGAATAACTGTGTAGAACGCAAATGTAGATAAGATTTATTTTATGAGAGTATGTGATATAAGCCAAATGTACTAGTTTCATATCATACATCATAAAGAATAGTAACTTTGAGTGTTTTATTTACTAAATTAGTCATTTGTACTATAATTGGAATAATTTTATGCAATGAACATTATACATTCAAGTCAAAGTAATTTAACCAAAGGAGATAATATTTGGATAATAAATTTTACTCCTAAGAGATTCACAGATTATCATCAACAGAATAATGTAAGAATCTAAATGAAAATACATTCTTGTCATAGTAACATTTGAATTTGACTCCCTATCATTTGTGCTCGTTCTTCCTGAAACCACCATAGTTGTCTTCTAATAGTATGCTTGCCTCAAATGCAAAAGGCTATGGTTTGATCCCTGACCACTTATAAAAATGACTTTAAAAAAGTAATTTGCCTCTTTTCTACTAAAAGACCTGTCAGCTTAGAATCAGTAAAATGTGATTAAGTAAGGCTATACATTTTATTGTTGACTAACTTCTTAAGGCATACGTGTTCCATTATTTTGATACACCTGTATTTTGACTTTTGGTTTAAATTATAAGTGTATGTCTATACAAATTCCTATGCAGTATTACACAACTGGTTTATTTTTGACAACAAATATAGATAAAAAGAAACACCTTATGGTTATATAGGCTTCTTTTATGCAATCTATTTAAATGAGTACACCTATACCCTACTAGTCTTTAAACTTGTTTGTGTTCTATTGAAACTTTTGTTTACTAATTATGTGATCTGTACTATTTGCTTTTATATGTATAACCTTCAGGCTTATGACCTTCAGGTGTGTAAACCATTTTGTTTTTTTAAACCTATAAAATCTATCATATTATTTTTGCTTGCTCTTTCCCCTTTCTGTGTTTTAATTTAAATTTCTTTTCCATTTAAGAAAGTCTCAAACTTTTCTATTTGATATGAAAGAAAGATATGAAAATTAATGAGTATTTTTTAGAAAAATTTACACATTGACATCAACTTGAAAACAGATAAAGTTTTCAAAGTATTTTTACAAACCAAATTTAACGAAATGAGTTTCAGATTGAGGCAGATGCATCCTGTTTAAGTACACTTTGAATTTTGCCAAATTTTCTACATTATTTTCATTTAATTCATTTGTTAAATATTTAATGTTTGTTGTTGTTCATTTTTATAACTCTAGTTTACTCTATAGATTACATCTATTTGTTGTTTTATCATATGATCAGTGCAAAAACTGTTTCACAATAATTGTTACAGAGTTATGAATTATGTTGTTTATTTTAATACATGATTTTTGTATATATCACTCATTACTTTCAAATTTTTATTGATGTTTATTGCAATTTTTTCAGTATGATATTCACCACAAATCAATAGTAACGTTTATCAGTCATGTGCCATAAATATGAGAAGGCGTTTATTGATCAGCATTGTGTATTGGCTAATGTAAACACAATGAGTAATACACTTGTAAATATCTCTCTTGTAAAGTAAAATCACTTTTATAAATTTCGACATATCTAAAAAAAAAAATCAAGTTTGTAAAATAGGATACAAATTCAATATTTGTAAAAACATTTTGATTTCAGAAAAAACAAAAGGTAGGATGTAATTCAAATAATTTAGAAAGATATACAACTAAAAAAACCACATGAATGAAAAACCGGATAAGTTATCTATAGGGATTGTAATACTACTTAATTTTCTTCTTCTTAAGTTCATATAACTTTAATAGGAAACAAAAGATAATCCCACTGATCATCAAACATCCCTAGTTCTGATACAGCGGACCTATGTAGGCTTCAACTCAGGAATTTTTACAAACTATGCTCAGGCACTTGAATTGATGAAATTTTGTATAGGTTGTTACTTATCCTAGTCCTGTCTTGAATGAATTGGGAAAACTATGCTGTATAAAATGAGAGTTGTACTTGCATTCCCCTTATATTTATGCCTAAAACTATCTTCATTTGTCCATCTGGGACCTCAAGTTAAATAGTTAAATTATAAAGAAACAAAAAAAGAAAGGGAAAAAACTTGACAAATTTTAAGTTCTGTTGATTTTACTAATTGCATTTTTATCCCACATTCATAAAATAATATTCCCATATTTTGTTTTCTGGGAAAGGGAGGGAAGGGGAGGGGAGGGGTAAAATGCTGAGTGAATCTATCAAGTGAAGAATTATGAATATGAAAGATGTTTACTGATATAAAAGATGATGTTGATTGTTTACATTGTATATTGTAGAACCACTGATGTGATAAATAATTCACTGATGTAGAAAAGTGCCTTAATGTGTAATTTTCAGGCATTTTTTATACATCTTTTCAATACACACATTTATTTTTGTTTGTTGAGATATTAATATTTTTTCAACACTTGTTTAAAGATCATCAACATGTACATATACTCTCTGTTTTAAAGTAGAAAAAAAAGAAATTAAAATTAACTTTCAATTTAGCTTTAACAAGGATCTTCTGGGAAAAACTCAAAATATATACTCATTAACTGTGTTTGTCATGTTTAAATGATTTTTTCCTTGGCCCTCCTTAGAAGACGTTTTTCTCCAAGCATAATCAAATTGACATATTTTTTGTACATAATCACGACTAGTGCTAGATTTACATATCAAGGATACTAAATAAGACATTATATTGTTAAAAATATTGTATAGATTTTTTCAGATGTATATATTTATGTCAACATAATATATTATTATATGAATATTAAATTTTTATGACTCAATATTAGTTACCTTTCTTATCAACTATGTAATGGGCAGTATTTTACAACTACTGCATATCAAAAATGGGTTAATCCAGCATCAGACCCTTTTAATGATTTTTATGTAAGCAAAAGTAATCAAGGGAAAGGTAATTTAAAGAAAAAGAACAAGAATTGACACCATAAAATGATTTTCCTGCTGCAATACAGATATCATTTAAAAGACTTTGAACTCTGGAACAGAGGTCAAGGTCAGATGTTACCAGTAAAGAGCAAATGTTAAAATTTATGTAATTGATTCTCATAAACAATATTTTTAATTTATTTCTAATTGCAGAGCTACCTTGTATCCCACTATTCCTGAAAAATTAATTGTATGGAAACTCTGACAACTACTATCTTCTTGTCTTATGTGTTTCATTCAGTGTTCTTCCATAGGCCATGAAGCACTTTGGTAATGTGATACTATATCGCTTGAATGCTACATGGAATGATTTTCTTATAGATTGTGTTATGGATGAAATAATATAATTTCTAAAACAATATTGTATTTTAAAATTCCCTGCTTACCAGGATGCTATCAGAAATTTGTTGGGACAACACTGTCATTATGTCTAAACCTTCCAAAAAAAACCCAGTTTTTGGGTAGCCCCATATATTACAAAGGCTGATATTGCTTTCTTTCAGTCATTTAATTCGCCTGAATTTTATCAGAATAAGCCTAGACATGTTACAGAAGTAACATCTGTAAAATGATAATGACCTTAACTTCTCTGAAACCAGGAAACAATATGGGAAAAAACTAGATCTGCATATGTCATATATCAGACAGACATATAATTCTCTCAACATATCCACATAAAAAAAATCCAAAAACTTCATCTGACTACTAGAGAATGAGAATGAGGTCAAACTCATACAGCAAGACAGATAGATATAAACTTATCACAACCAATCCACTTACCATATTGTGTATCACTTCTAAGGAACAAACCTAGTCCAAAAAGTTAACATCCTGACTACAAGAACATGAGAATGAGGTCAAACTCATACAGCAAGACAGATAGATATAAACTTATCACAACCAATCCACATACCTTATTTTGTATCACTTCTAAGGAACAAACATAGTTCAAATAAATGTAGAATGTGTCAATGGTATGGACGGACAGACGGACAAGGCTAAAACTAAATGCCCCCTTCCCCAGCGGTGGGGGCATAAAAAATTAACCTCCTGACTACAAGAGCTTGAAAATGAGGTTAAACTCATTTAGCAAGTCAGATAAATATAAACTCATCACAAACAATCTACAAACCATATTGTATGTCACAACTAAGGAACAAACGTAGTCCAAAAAAGTTAACCTCCTGACTACAAGAGCATGAAAATGAGGTCAAACTGGTAGAGCAAGTCAGATAGATATAAACTAATCCATATACATTATTGTGTATGACTTCTAAGGAACAAACATAGTCCAAATAAATGAAGAATGTATCAATGGGACGGATAGACGTAGTAGAATGGTAAAACTTAATGCCCCCTCTGCCAATGTGGGGGCATAAAAAGTTAACCTCTTGACTACAAGAGCTTGAAAATGAGGTAAAACTCATTTAGCAAGTCAGATAGATATAAACTCATCACAAACAATCCACATGCCATGTTGTATGTCATAACTAAGGAAAAAACTTAGGATGAGTAATAGGATAACTATGCTTGATATGTGGGATCCTTGTCAGACATGGTTCACTGTACTTGACCTCCATACATGGATCAGTGATCAAGGTTAAAATTTTATGGTCAAGGGCACATCTCAGTTACCATTAGCAATACTGTGAATTAATTAGTATTCGTGGGATACCAATTTTCATTGATTTCATGGGTAAAGGTAAACCACGAATTTAAATGTTTAACGAAGTACAAACTTTCTATAGGCTTGTACGAAGACTTTGGCAACACCACAAAATCAATTATCCACAAAAATATAGGTTTCCCTGAATACATGAAAATTGATACCAACGAAAATAAATGAATCCACGGTAAATCAAATTTGGTGTATGGTATGATTGTAAAGAGTGCATGTCCATTTGGCAGTGTTCATCTGACCTTGACCTCATTTACATGGATCAAAGTTTATGTGATACTTATAGCAATACCTTTATCTTGCAGACTTTCAACATAAAAATATTCATCATCAGTAAAGCAAGTGAGACATTTCAGTGAGCACACTCTTCTATTAAACTATACATGTTTGTTCATTGTTGAAGACCATACGTTGACCTATAGCTGTTAACTTCTATGTCACTTGGTCTCTGTTTGAGAGTTGTCTCATTGGCAGTCATACCACATCTTCTTATTTTTCTATGTAAAAGTGACTTAATATGACTGATAATCATTTCACTCTTTTTGCATGAAATTATAGTGTATTTTACAATTACGATTCTGAACTTGGAACTTGAATAAAAGAGGGACACTGGCAGGCATGTGTATTGTGTTGTAAATAAAAGCATATGTTTGATTTTTGAAAAATTCTTAAAATCTAAATTATTTATAGTCTTTGCTGAAAAGTTATAAAATAATGAATTAAATCTTCTGAACTTGATCAATATATTCTCCTGTCAGGTGTAGACACAGGTAAAAGTGATTAAATAGCAGTTACCTGACATCACCAAGGACATTATAACAATAACTTTAAAGGTCCTGTGAATGAATACAAAACTGTGTGGCAGTTTTATTACAACAACGAATCAAGATTTAGTACTGTACATTGAAAAAATTTGCAAATGTTTTTATTATTGCAAAAAATGTGATTGGATAGGTTTGCAAAAATACAAACTTGCATTTTAATATTGACAGCATTATTTACATGCATCATTTCCAGTTTTGGAAAAAACAAATATTGTTTCAGTCATATGTATTTTCAAATCAGATATGACTGGCTAGTATGACTTGAATCTTGATTAAATTTCAAAATGTTCATTTGAGTGAAATAAGGAATTTTATTTCAGTCATTTGTATTTCAAATCATTCATGACTGGTTACTGTAAATTCAGAAATTATTGTGAGGTTTTTATCATTGCGAATAATGCGACTGGGTGAGTATCACAATAATAAGAATTCGCATTCTGATATCTGATGCATATATTTGTATGCAGCTTTTCCTGAATTCGCAATAATTAATTTTGCATTTATGTCCATTCTTTAAAAATCGCAATAAATGCACACAATAATTTCTGTATTTACAGTAATTAGACCAGTTCTTGACCCTTGGAGAAGACTGACAGGTTAACATCTTTGTAAGTTATCTACCTTTGCAAGGGGTTAGTCAGGGTAAATGGAGAGTCAGAAAAGCATCAGAATTGAAGCAAGAGAGGGGAGTTGGAAGAAAGGAAGAGAGTTGAGAAATAGATAGGAGTCAGGAGAAAGGTGGAAATCGAATATATCAATAGTTTGTCCCCTCATTAATTTTGTTTAAGATTTGTAAATGTCTGCACAAAGATTCATGAAAATCTGATGAAGCATGTAGGAGGAATTTTGTTTACAAAGTGATTTCTTCATATTTTCTCAGATCAGCAAACAATATTCTGGAAACACTCAATGGAGAAAAAAAACCTTTGTGCTGCAAATTTGAAACATCATATTCTATTACTGTTAAAAGTTTGGTTTAAATTGGACCAAAGACTCAAAAATAAGATAAAACAGACAGATTTCATTACCCTTCCCACACACTTTGTTTGCAGGGGATAATAAAACTGTAACTAGACCTGTAAATACCCATTATACATTTATCTAGTATTGGTCAGCACACAATTTGCATGCACTGCAAAAACCAAAATAAATGAAGACAACTACAATTTTGGTATTCCAAGAACAGTAATACCAGTGAAAGTAGATCAAACATAAATAAACTAATGCACTACATGAAAAGTGATAAATATTCACAGGTAGTATTGCAGGATAAAATACTGGACGGAAGTAAAATTGAATACCAAAGCTTCTTTGGCAGCATCATATTATTAAGACAGAGTGAATTACACAGCCTGATTGTTTACCTACTCATTCTATAACCTTTCAAAGTAAGTTCGAACGTAACAACATCAAGTTCATTGATTGATTAATGTTTTAGATGGTGCAACAATGCAAAAAGGCTATATTGCAGCTATCACAACATCAAATCATTTCTTTTTTATTATCAAAACGTCTGTATGAAACCTAAATGTCTTGGCCATCAAGATAAGTTGAAAAGTTCATCACAACTTCAAGCATATAAAAATATGGTTCTAAATCAGCTCATTAGATTGTTTTCACTCTTTCCAAGTACAGTGCTGCTGTTTCTATGTTTATAACCTGCAATTATACTTATATTTATATATGTGCGAATATTCACTAACCTCTGTATAAGTTGGCATGGCAGTTTTATCTCTTCTGTCAAACAGACATTCTACCATCTCAAACATACCAACAGTCACATCCACAGTCATTGTATGATGTGTTGGAATTGTCTTCTCTGTACAGTCAACTGTCAAAGGTTTACCAAGTAACCTAAATAAAATTATACTATCAGTTAACAGGCATTTTGATTGGACTCTGGTGGATAGTTGTCTGATTTGCAATCATACCACCTTGTTTTTATATTGTAGAAACACTAATTTGATGGTATCTTAATTTGTTTTCATTTTTCAGTGTGCCTACTTACCAACAATTCTACTATGCCCTATAAAAATAATCAATTTTTTTTATAAACTGACTTGTTTTCTAGAGTTCCCCAAAACCTGCCAGCAAGATTCAATATCACAATATATTAAACATATTGGCTGGCAAACAAAAAAGTGTCCACTTTAAGAAAACTAAACCAGGTATTTTGTTTACTGGATTCCTAAATATCCCCTTTATTTTCTACAGAGGTAATATTTTATATGTAAAGTAAGCTTAATTTACCATCCATCAAACACAAAAATTGATTAAAAAGAAACTACTAAAAATGTCACCTTATTCTTATTTTCAGCTAATGTAATAAAGATTTCAGTTGACATTTTTTTTAATCAACAACTGTTTCAATAAAAATTCTTGGCAGACATATCAAAACTTCTGGCTAATCCAGCTATTATAACTGTTACAGAAAAAAATTATGACCTTATGCATAATAAGCCATCCACATCATACGATTTATGTGACTGTTATCTTTCAATTATTTGGTAGTAAAAAAAAAATGCAATCCCCTTTTCAACTCATACATAAGTCCCATTATTTGAAATGTATTAGCAGAATGGACTTTTTGCAACTGATTTTTATAGTTTGTTCTTATGTTGTACTGTCCCAGGTTAGGGGGAGAGTTGAGCGCTCACAAACATGTTTAACCCTGCCAAATTCTTTATTTGCCTGTCCAAAGTTAGGAGCCTGTAGTTCAGTGGTTGTCGTTGGTTCATGTCTGTCATATTTGTTTTTCGTAAATTGTTTTGTTATGAATTAGGCCGTTAGTTTTCTCAATTTAATTGTTTCATATTTTTCATGTCGGGGCCTTTTATAGCCGACCATACAGTATGGGTTTTTCTCATTGTTGAAGGCCGTACAGTTGCCTATAATTGCTTACATCCACTTCATTTGAACTTTGATGGATAGCTGTCTCATTGGCAATCATACCACATCTCCGTATTTTTATATTGTACTATCAAAATAATGTTGTCAGACATTTTTTTCATTCAAGGGAAATAACTCAAATCAGATTGTTATGGTATATTAATTCAACCATACGGATGGAAGGACTGATTGCCGGAAAGACAGAAAGACGGATGGTCAAAGATAACACTTAATGCCCCAGTCGTCTACGGCAGGGCCATAAAATTATGTTCTCTTCAAGTTATGTACGACAATGACTGCGCTGTTTGATTTTCCAAGACGAGGCTAAATGATGAATTAATTACCTGATATGATCATACTTCAGTACTTCCACAAAACTCTTTCTCAAACTTTTCATGTCTCCCCTAGCAGCTGTTGCAATAGTAAACACTCTTTGGAAGTAAGACGTAGACAGATCTTTAATGTTATTTTCTTGTGTTCGCGTCTGGCCATGCTCTACTTTAGAGCAAGGATTGTCATGCAAAAGTGCTACAGAGAAGAATGCTAGTCTCAGTCTATAATGGGAAAACTCTGCTGACGGATCATCTAAAATTTTCTTCATTGGATCTAAAAAAGATGTAGACATTGAATTTAATGGTAACCTGTAAAATCCTACCTGTACAGACATCATTATCAGTTAACTCTTTACAAAGGAGTAAGATTATCTATTTCATCACATTAAATATTGCAGTGTCTTTGAAGTAAAATTCTATTAAATGACAGATGAGGATAAAAAATAGAAGTTAGAAGGCACACAAAATAGGGGTTTATAGGCATTTGAGAACTTGAGGTGAATAATATGACTATATTGCTGATTGAATCATAAGTATCTGAAACTAATCAGAAGTCAATTTTTTTCACAAATACCTTTAAAACTACAGTCGTAAATGCATCAGATATTTGTCAAATCCATTAATCTCACCATGAACTAGCGTAATCATAATAGCAATAGGTATATTTTTTTGTAAATAGGGTACGTATTGGACAGGCTTGTGATTACTGTAGATGAATTTAGACCACTAGGCTACTATGGCCCCAAATTACTATAGAAACCATACATTTGTTAACCAATTTACTTGTAAATAGTTTGTTCAATTTGAATTCATCAAGAAAAAGCATGTTTCAGAATTTATCTTTCATGCATTATTTATTTGCAAGGCATATTACTGTAAACCAAATAATTTTTGCGAGCAATTTAAAAAAATAACACGAAAATATAAATAATCGCGAAAAATGAGTAAATTACCCTTGGGCTTCCTGTTTTCTGTTCCACCAGATTTAACAGCTGAAAATATATTTCATAAAATATCAACATGAAATCATATTCATAAAATTGAAATTAAAGTAGCCTTTTTTCAAATAATGAATTTGACTAAAATGTATTTTTTTTCAAAGTCTGTATTGTCAGTCTAAATAAAATGCTTCGCTGAGCGCAGCCTGATACGACCGCAGTGGTCCAACCCTGAACAGTTGGGTCAAATTTGGATACAATATTCAAGCTTGATACAGTCTGAATTTTGATTGTGATCAAATTTTTGACATAATAAAGGTTTCTGACACAAAATAAATGTGGTCAAAGATCTTACAAATCTATTGCCCAATACTGCGCAATTGAAGATTTCTTCTTTAAACTTTCAAAAATTTGAAATTTGAAAATTTTTGAAAAAAAATATGAATTCCTTACAAAAATTGGAAAAAAAATCCCACCCCCCCAAAAAAAAAACTTTTGGAAACCCCCCTTGGAGCAATTACCCCAAGACTCAATCCCATCCTTCCCTCTGTAGTATGGAACCTTGTAGTACAATTTCAGGGAGATCCATACACTTAAACACAAGTTATTGTCTGGAAACTAGAAAAATGCTTGTTTTTTGCCCTTTTTTGGCCCCTAATTCCTACAAGTTTGGGGCAATTATCCCCAAACTCAATCCCAGCCTTCCCTTTGTGATATGGAACCTTGTGGTACAATGTCAGAGAGATCCATACACTTACACACAAGTTATTGTCCGGAAAATAAAAAAATTGTTGTTTTTGGCCCTTAATTCCTAAACTGTTGGCCCCATAACCCCTTTAGATGAATCCCAACCTTCTACTTGTGGTATTAAACATTGTGGTACAATTTCAGAGCAATCAAAATACATTCACTTAAACTAAAGATATTGTCCGGAAACCAATGTGTCTTCGGACGACAAAGCAGACGACGCAGATGACGTAGGCGACGCAGACGACGACATCATACCATTATACAATCCCAAAAATTTTTTTGCTGTCGTATAAAAAATCTCAGTTTGTAACATAAAACAAACTTCAAACCTAACTGCTCTAATGGTAAGAAATTTTACCCATTTGCTCTCAGAAAAAGATAACATAAGAAAGGTTACTGTTTGGTTTTTTTCCCCTTCAAAATAAATTAAGGCTTACTGTGAGTATCGCTGTGTGTTTCTTTATTCTACATTGGCTAGAGGTATAGGGGGAGGGTTGAGATCTCACAAAACATGTTTAACCCCACCGCATTTCGCGCCTGTCCCAAGTCCGGAGCCTCTGGCCTTTGTTAGTCTTGTATGTATTTTAATTTTAGTTCATTTATATGTTTTGGAGTTTAGTATGACGTCCATTTTCACTGAACTAGTACACATTTTTATTTAGGGGCCAGCTGGGGACCACCTCCGGGTGCAGGATTTTCTCGCTGCGTTGAAGACCCATTGGTGGCCTTCCAATCGGCTGTTATCTGCTCTTTGGCCGGGTTGTTGTCTCTTTGACATATTCCCCATTTCCATTCTCAATTTTATATTGTATACACTGCCATTGTTCAATAATAATACTTTCTTGAAAACAGAAGATATAAAAGACTTTAAAAACTGAAATAAGTCTTTACATCATATGAAGATTGTGAATATTTATTATATTTACCATAATGCATTTCCAAAGTAAAATGTATCTTTCATTAGGTTATTTAATCTAATTTTAGCTAGTGTGAAAAACTAGAGGCTCTCAAGAGCCTGTGTCGCTCACCTGACTCTACTTTGGTTTTAGAAATCATGTAAAGATAGATAAAAATCATAACATATACCCAAATAATGATTGAGGCCAAATTTTGATTAATATTGGTCCCGTTATTTAATAAAATATCCTGGTGGCCATCTTGAACAGTAAATCGGCAACAAAGTAGCAACACTTGGTCAGCACTTCATAAGGAACATTCATGCCATGTTTGGTTTCATTCCATTCATTGGTACTCTAAAAGAAGACATTTGTATGTATTTCCCATAGGGTCCTATGTTATACTAAGCCCCCCCCCCCCCTAAGCGGCCATCTTGGATGATGGATCGACTGCAAAGTAACAACACTTGGTCAGCAACTCATAAGGAACATTCATGCCATGTTTGGTTCATTTCCATTCAGTGGTTCTCTAAAAGAAGACAATTGTATGTATTTCCCATAGGGTCCTATGTTAAACTAAGTCCCCGCTGCAAAGTAACAACACTTGGTCAACATCTCATAAGGAACATTCATGCCATGTTTGGTTCCATTCCATTTATTGGTTCTCTAAAAGAAGACATTTTTATGTATTTCCCAAAGGGTCCTATGTAAAACTAAGTCCCCCGCTGGAGGCCATCTTGGATGATGGATCGGCAACAAAGTAACAACACTTGGTCAGAACCTCATAAGGAATATTCATGCCATGTTTGGTTTCATTCCATTCAGTGGTTCTCTAAAAGAAGACATTTGTATGCATTTCCCATAGGGTCCTATGTTAAACTAAGTCCCCCACTGGCGGCCATCTTGGATGATAGACCGACTGCAAAGTAACAACACTTGGTCAGCATCTCATAAGGAACATTCATGCCATGTTTGGTTCCATTCCATTCAGTGGTTCTCTAAAAGAAGACATTTTTATGTATTTCCCATAGGGTCCTATGTTTAACTAAGTCCCCTGCTAGCGGCCATCTTGGATGATGGATCGGCTACAAAGTAACAACACTTGGTCAGCACCTCATAAGGAACATTCATGCCATGTATGGTTTCATTCCATTTAGTGGTTCTCTAAAAGAAGACATTTGTATATATTTCCCATAGGGTCCTATGTTAAACTAAGTTCCCCGATGGCGGCCATCTTGGATGATGGATCTACTACAAAGTAACAACACTTGGTCAGCACCTCATAAGGAACATTCATGCCATGTTTGGTTCCATTCCATTCAGTGGTTCTCTAAAAGAAGACATTTTTATGTATTTCCCATAGGGTCCTATGTTTAACTAAGTCCCCTGCTAGCGGCCATCTTGGATGATGGATCGGCTACAAAGTAACAACACTTGGTCAGCACCTCATAAGGAACATTCATGCCATGTTTGGTTTCATTCCATTTACTGGTTCTCTAAAAGAAGACATTTGTATATATTTCCCATAGGGTCCTATGTTAAACTAAGTTCCTCGATGGCGGCCATCTTGGATGATGGATCTGCTACAAAGTAACAACACATGGTCAGCACCTCATAAGGAACATTCATGCCATGTTTGGTTTTATTCCATTCAGTGGTTCTCTAAAAGAAGTCATTTGTATGCATTTCCCATAGGGTCCTATGTTAAACTAAGTCCCCCGCTGGCGGCCATCTTGGATGATGGATCGGCTACAAAGTAACAACACTTGGTCAGCACCTCATAAGGAACATTCATGCCATGTTTGGTTTCATTCCATTCAGTGGTTCTCTAAAAGAAGTCATTTGTATGCATTTCCCATAGGGTCCTATGTTAAACTAAGTCCCCTGCTGGCGGCCATCTTGGATGATGGATCGGCTACAAAGTAACAACACTTGGTCAGCACCTCATAAGGAACATTCATGCCATGTTTGGTTTCATTCCATTCAGTGGTTCTCTAAAAGAAGACATTTGTATGCATTTCCCATAGGGTCCTATGTTAAACTAAGTTCCCCGATGGCGGCCATCTTGGATGAAGGATCAGCTACAAAGTAACAACACATGGTCAGCACCTCATAAGGAACATTCATGCCATGTTTGGTTTTATTCCATTCAGTGGTTCTCTAAAAGAAGTCATTTGTATGCATTTCCCATAGGGTCCTATGTTAAACTAAGTCCCCCACTGGCGGCCATCTTGGATGATGGATCGGCTACAAAGTAACAACACTTGGTCAGCACCTCATAAGGAACATTCATGCCATGTTTGGTTTCATTCCATTCAGTGGTTCTCTAAAAGAAGTCATTTGTATGCATTTCCCATAGGGTCCTATGTTAAACTAAGTCCCCCGCTGGCGGCCATCTTGGATGATGGATCGGCTACAAAGTAACAACACTTGGTCAGCACCTCATAAGGAACATTCATGCCATGTTTGGTTTCATTCCATTCAGTGGTTCTCTAGAAGAAGTTCAAAATGTAAAAAGTTAACGCCGACGACGGACGACGCCGGACGACGGACGACGGACGCCAAGTGATGAGAAAAGCTCACTTGGCCCTTCGGGCCAGGTGAGCTAAAAAATGAAAACAACAAGATACAAACCCCATGCGTCCAAGGCGCTTTTCTGGATTTACCCCCATCAGGAACACTCAAAACCGAATATTTGAAAGCCAAGGATGTATAACAAGAGGCTCTAAAGAGCCTGAATCGCTCACCTGTCTTTCAGAGGAGAAGATTTTTAAATGTTAGCAAACTTGATGAACAAATTGTGTAAAATTGTCTTTAAAGGGCAATAACTCCTTAAGGGGTCAATTGACAATTATGGTCATATTAACTTTTTTGTAGATCTTACTTTGCTGAACATTATTGCTGCTTACAGTTTATATATATCTATAATAATATTTAAAATAATAACAAAAAACTGCAAAATTTTGTTAAAACTACCAATTCGGTGGCAGCAACCCAACAATGGGTTGTTCGATTCGTCTGCAAATTTCAGGGCCGATAGATCTTGACCAATTAAACAATTTTACCCCATGTCACATTTGCTCTAAAAGATTTAGTTTTTGAGATATAAGCCAATAAAATGCTTCGCTGGGCGCAGCTTGATACGACCGCAGAGGTCAAACCCTGAACAGTTGGGGCAAGTATGGACACAACATTCAAGCTTGATACAGCTCTGAATTTGGATTGTGATTAAATATTTGACACAGCATAGGTTTCTGACACAGAAAGAATGTGGTCTAAGAACTTCAATTTTTTTAATTTACCTATTATGGTCCAATGTCCAAAATCAAAATACATGGTTAGATTCAGCATATCAAAGAACCCCATATATGTAATTTTTGTTGAAATCAAACAAAGTTTAATTTTGGA